TGCCTCAAGTCCATCGATATCAATGCATTTGAAGAGAAATGTATTCTCTGTTCACCTTCGTTAGAATGTGCAACTCAGGAAGAAATCAGTCAAGTTACGCGATTGTCGAAAAAGACAGGTCTAGATATCAATCCCGCCGGCTTGGACCACGATCTTCTCCCTGAGATTCTAATCCAATTCTTATTGATTATGACGCCGAATCTCCAGAACGTCAGCTTGTGCGTTCCACGTTGGTGGATCTTTTACCCGTTGAGAAAATGGATCAATAAATGGAGGCCCAAACTAAATGAGTCAAAAATACTGCTGGGCCAGGTACGACACATGGAGCTGGAGACTGAGAGATATAGCGACGACACGTGTCTTGAGGACTACCATAAAGATGAGGATCTTTGTCACCCGATTCCTGATCCCATTGAACGACTACTCATAGACAGTGCACCGAATCTCGAGGTGTTGTCATGTTCTGCTGGAGGGCTGGAGGGTCTTCCGAAGTTGCCATTGCTCAGGTGGCTGCACCTCCGCATGGAAGGGTCTTGGAAGGGAATGTTGCCTAAATTAATGGATCGCCTACCGTCCCTGACACATTTCAGCTACTCGACCAGCAACTTGCACTCTCCCACGCCCAGAGAGATCCAAGACGCCCTCCATAATCACCAGGAGACTCTTCAACATCTCACTGTGATCAATCGGTTTGGGGAGAGCATTGCAAGTGATGATTTGCGAACGGATCCAAGCCGGCCATACTCAATGACCTCTCTGGCCGGTTTCAAGGCTCTCGAATCCATTAACCTTGATGGCTATATGATCTGGCCGCATCGGAGGGACGGAGGCACGATACAAGAAATGGAGGCGGACTTGCAGCTTCTACCGAACTTTTTGCCTCAATGCTTACGGCAGCTTCATATTGATGGCTGGGGTAACTATGGAGAGGAGAACCTAAGGTCTTTAGCTAAGGCTATGGCAAATGTGGAATTTCCCTACCTGGAAACGGTGATCTGGGGCATCGTTCATGATCGCCGGCTCCTTCGGCGTGGGTCTTGCAACAAAGCGTGGGAGATGGGCATGGATTGGAGGGAAATAATTACAGAGAAAGTTGAAGACCGCATACGCAATTGTCATCAGGAAGCATTTCCAAACTGGGGAGACGATTTGTTGGGGTCTGCTGCGAATGAGGCTGGCTGATGATCAATTGCTCGCTTCAACTACCTACTCATATAGCATCGAAGCTTTGCGTCGTAATATAGGGCTGTAAATGTCCGAACCGTTCTCAACACCATGTACTTACTCAGTATCTTGACCGGCCGTGGGCCAGTTACCTTCCTGATGAGAATAATATGACAAGATGATGAAGCGTAATTATCAAATTCAATTGAGTCTTGAACGGGCTTGAGGCATTTATGATGACACATTCTGCACAAATGCTGTGGTCAAGTACGTGCAGTGAAGAGGGATAGGGGAGCTGCGACCTTTCTACCACGAATTTGCTAGAAGGGAAAATTGATTGTTCAACCACATTGGAACACATCTCGACATTGACAATGATCTTACTCTTCCCACACGCTTTAGGATAATTTGTGCAGTGAAATTGTCTACTGAAAGTCAAAAGCCGACGTTGCAATTGCACTAAAGTTCTGTTTGTTTGATATGATCACTACAGTACCTTAGTATACTAAGGTACATGGTAGTAACTCAAACATTGGCATACCAGAGCACAAGCAGAGTCTTCCCACATTTCGTAACATTGATACTTCAGCTTTGAAAGTTACCATATGTCAGGAATGCCTGATCTATATATCCAGCTTTACCATGACGCCAATGCTTTTTCCAAAACTTTGGTACTTTTGCAGCGCCGCCTGTGCCTCCGGCTTAGTCCAAGCAGCCTTTGCTTCCTGGCGCACGTGTTAGCAATGAATACATATAACCTAAGACCGTAGCAATCAGATGGAAGGCTTACCTCATCACTGTCCCATCCCAAGATGCCCAAGCCAGTTGACTGACCTCCATCTACACTCTTTCCTCCAAAGTGGACGGTCTGGCCGAGGGCAGCAACTAGGTCCATCCAGGCCTGCTTCGCTTCCTCATGCTTACTCTCGTCTGCAACATCAATGAAGCAGAACTGAGTAAATGTCTTAGGCTTTTCACCGGGAAGCGGACCAGTCTCGAACTTTTTGACTCGAGGCTCGCCGCCGGGACCAGCCTTGAACTGCTCTTCACGCTCTTTGATCCACGCCGAATCGGCAAACGCTTTGTCATCTGCCGCGGACTCGAAAGCTACGAGGAGATTTAGGTACTGCCAAACAACTTGACTTCAGAGGAGGATCTCACTTATCGTTTGCAGGAATTTGAAGTCTGTCACAGGTGTTCCGTTTTCGTTGATGACATGTCCACCAGCTACTCCAATAACGCCTGGCTGCTTCGCAATATCTTCCTTGACCTGCGGCCATGCTCCGAGGAACTCATCCTTCTTGTCGGCAGGAATGTTGGGGGTGACGACAACGAGGAAAGGCATTTTGGCTGTTTTTATGTTCGGGGCTAGGAGAGACGATGGAATTGTTTTCGTGGTGTGTTTTGGCGCTAACCGGTCTACGGTGATCTGGTTGTCTTTCGTTTCGATGAAATATTGATTCTGTGCTGGCTTGAAGTCGGTTGGTGGATGCGGTCAACACGAGGTTTTTATGACTTTCGAGGGGGGTTCATTCATGTATCAAAGACCTTGCTGAATCAAGACAGTGGTCAGTCAACCATCGACCCCGACACAGACCGCACCCTGCACCCGGAAATCCCGGCGGTGCGGCATGACAGCAGCCAGGCGCCGTCAGACGAGTTGCGTCTTAGAAGCCCCCCCCCCCCCCCCCCCCCCCCCCCCCCCCCCCCCCCCCCACCCCCCGCCACCCCCCCCCCCCCCCCCCCCCACCCCCCACCCCCCCCCCCCCAACAGCGACCCGGCCGCGCCGAACGGTGTGGCCTTTAAAACCCCCCCCCCCCCCCCCCCGGCAAAAGCTGAGAGCCACCAGTACGTCGCCGACCGACCCCAGATCAGCTAACCTCGAACCCCCTCTCGTCGCGGATAATACCACCGGCAACTAGGGACGGCTCTCAGGGTCCAACAGCTGATTGGCGGTGCCCACTAGGTATGTTGCATGGTAAACAAACCGCGTGTATGCCGTATCGTGAATGCTTCAACCCAGGAAGTGAAACCCAGGCGGAGCCGAGAACCGGGGGTCAGGCCAGTGTGGGGTACAGTCGCTGCCACGGCGGCGGAGGACGGGCCGGCGGGTTTTGACGAGACGGTCTCGGTTTTTCGTCTGATCCGTGATTTATGCCCCCTCCACCAAGCCGAAAGTCTAATTCACTCGGCAACGTGCTTGGAGGCCTGCATGAATCCAAGCCGTCAGCCCGGCGGACAGAAGGTTGACTAGGCCAGGTCTAAGAAAAAGGGGTCCTTATGCAAGTAACAGCTGTCGAATCACCGCAGGCGAAGTGTGTTTGCTGCGTGAGGCAGTGCCAGAACCCGAAGGTCTTTCAAGGAGCGAGAATCCCTAGTCGAGTGCTTGACTGTACTAATTCAAGCTGAGTGTTCATCTCGTATTGCTATGTAATACGAAGCTGGAAACACTTTGGCAGAATGCGGGGACAAGCACATTGAGGCATGGAGATGCGACTGAGTCTGATACATGAGGAAACGTTCCAGAACAAGCACAAACCTTCGGGGATATATCAATATTCCGGGGAATTAGCAAAGCAACCCGTGCTCATATCCAGTCTCTCCAATACTTGAAATGTTACTGAGGAAGGTTGAACCTCTCAGGCTGGCCTGAAATAAGTAGATGCGAGTACAATTGAATGGGTGAAGTCATGGCTTCGAGCTTTTGCATCAAAGATCAGCAAGGACTTGGCTATGGTCCACGAGCTGAATACAAGTACTAATCGCATGATTGTGGTAAAGAGTTTGTACTATTTTCATCCCTCCAATGCATGTGGTTTCTCCTTCGGCACTAAATCTACGTGATGGGCAATGACCGAGGCCTGGTTTACAATATGGACTTGGTTGTTCGGAGTTTCGGGCAAAATGAGGTTACCGAATCAACAAGTGAACGTGTGAAGCAGCCTTGCTCCCCTTTGATATTGAGAAATACCTGCAAGCAACATTGAAATCTCGGGAATAATGCATATGCACTGCTTCGAATACATGGCTCGATCGGTTGAGTTCAAGTGGCGGTGTGAGATCGTTCAATGACTCGCTCCTGGCCACCACAAAGACAGGCCGATGCGCTACACAGTTCTGCCATAAGTCTTCCACTTAGAGAAGCCGTGCCCGAAGATAGGATTTTTAATTATTATTGCCTGCAGGGGCGAGCTCTAGCCAAGGGCTCTGGTACTGTCACATATCAGCAGAAGAGTAAGTGCCTCTTTCGTTCATCCCGAAATTCGGTCGAGATCGTCTGTTTGTGTGTGTGTGTGTGTGTGTGTGTGTGTAAGTGAGAGGAAGAGAGAGAGAGGGAGAGAGAGATAGAGAGAGAGATGTTGTTGTTGAAGACATACGACTCTTTGCTCTTTGGATGAGAAACTACATACGACGTATTGAACTAATCTCTTCCTTGATTCCCATCTTCATGAAACGTCGAAAGCTATGCACATTACTACCCACAGGATATTCATGCCTAACCTTACACAGATCGCACAAATCTTGCCGACAGTCAAAACGAGGACATTTCACACTGCAGGTGGGAGCTTGGCATCTGAGAGCAGCCAAATGTTCAATCTGTTTCTTCTCTGTGGCCAGACTGACCCAGGGTAGCTTGCAAATATGCGTCTCGATACTTGATGCTTTAAACGTATATGTCATGACAGTTGAGAAAGCCCCAACTGTTTGCGTTGAGCACAGAACAATTACACTTCCACCCCATCATTGTCGAAATCCTCAGGACCACCAACCCAATATTCCTGACAACGATTTCCCCCCCGCTAAATGAAAGTATGCGAGGCGACTGGTATCTCCCTCAAGCGAACACGACAACAGCCGCCGCGACACCGAGAACTGCCGCCATCCCCGCCCGAACGGTCGATCCCGCCCCAGCCGGAACCGTACTCGACGAAGGTTCCACTCCGCTTCCCGTCCCAGTCGGCACAGCCTCACCCTCCGTCGACGTGATCAAGGTACTACCGGCGACGCCCGTCCTAGTCGTGACCACCGACGGCGTCAGCGACGACAATGGCGACGTCACCGACGTAGTAACGGTTTTGATAATGGTGCTCGTCGTGGTAGGGGGCGTGACCGTCACCGTCGTGCTGCCGACTCCGCTATTCGACCCGGGGGTCGCAAGGGTCTGGGTGACCGTGATTGTGGGCGGTTTGACGGTTGCGCAGCTGGAGAAGAAGCTCTTGGTGATGGTCTCGGTACCGGAGTAGCCCGGGCAGCCCGGGATTTTCTTGCCGGACGCCGGGTCCGTACTTCCGCAGTCGAGCGGGGTGCAGATTTCGTGGGTTTCGGGGACGTAGTGGATGACTGTCTTGATGGAGTCGCCAGAGGGTCCTGGGTAGGTGTATGTGAGAGAGGTGCAGCCCGTGAGGTCCGTCTTGGCTAGGACCGCCGTAGCTGCCAGAACTGGGAGGAGGTAGCGAGACATCCTTTTTGGAGTTGAATGACGATTTGCGAGTGAACGTTGGTGAACGAGTGTGATGGTCAATAACTGCTGATAGACACCTAAGATCTCGAGGATGAGAGAGGCATGGATCGCCAAGTCATATCTGGGTGGCATAACGGGTCTTTTTGAATACATGATGGTGTTGTAGGATCGGGAAGTCGTATTATTCCCATGCGTCCTGGATGTTTGGCGAGCAGGCAAGCTTTCTGGAACCTCGTCACCTCGATCTCGTCTAGCCCCTGGGTACGACCTCAAGAGGCTGCGTCGTGCCGCATAGGCGCGTCGACTCCTTGCATTACCGGCGTTCTTTTGTCATCTGACACGAGGAAGGGCAGGGACAGGAGAAAACACAGCGGTTCTGAATAATCCCGTGGTCCATGTCAGGCATACTACGAGAACAAAGAAGATTTATTTTCGGGAACATGCACTCGAAAACAAGCGACTGACGAATCCCTTGCCGCGCTCACAGGCTTGGCAATCAACAACTGAGATGCAAGGAGCAGGAATTCAATTTGTCTGTCAGGCACCGGAAGATCAAGGAAGACTGTCTTGCTAATGCTCTAGTATCGACCTGAGAATCCAACGGCGCCATATCATCGCCGAGAGAATTGGTGCCAAAGCTTACAGCCAGTCGGGCCATTTCATCAAACCACGGAAAGTGGTGGAGGAGAAAATATCAGTTTTGCTATCTATCTTCGAGTTCACTGTCATAGAATCGGTCAAGCTTGTCCAGAAGATCGAACAAAGAAAACCTGACTAACTGTATGTACAGTACAGGTCAAAGTCTTTGAGACGATTGCTCAAGGACGGCTCAGGGATGGCCATGCCACCATCCTCGTATACGGGCCCCTGCTTGCCATGCCAAAAGCACTGCAGTTTGCCGTTGTTTCCATCAAACACTGCTGCATTGTTCTCCCTCCTGTACGACACGACCTCGACCTAGCAGTCGAGTCACACGAAATAGCTCTTTTTTGTCGTTGGGAGAGGGGCTGTTGCCGGTGCGTACTCTTCTGAGTCATCTCTCCATCGAATGGCCCACGTGCTTGTCTGGCGACAGCTTCAAGTTAACATGACATCGAAACTCAAAGAAACCAAGAGCACAGTGTTCTGTATGTATAGCAATGGTGTATTGGCAGGTAGCGATTGGCGCATTAGTTGGTAAGTCTAGGTTATTACAATTTATCATACAGAAGTCGTCGTGTCGGCCGTTAAAAGAAAAGGAATGCATAGCCGGAAAGTCTTTCGCGACGACTTTGTCACTTCAAGATTCCAGCGAATGTTGATCCCCTCCAGCGGAGAGACAGAAGTCGGAAACAACACTTTTGCGAGAGGATCAAACTCAATCTCTTTACTGCGCCTTCTTGGCATTGTCCAACTTTTTCTCCCGTCTACGCTGGTGGGCTTCCGCGCCGGCTTCGGTATCCATGAGGTAGTCCCACCACCGGAAGCTAGACGCGTAGTTGCCAATGAATTTCTCATGGTGCACGTCGTGGTGCTCGGCACCGGCCCAGAAGGGGAGGAAGTGCCTCAGAGACCAGGGGAAATCGTAACCGGAATGCGAGTCGATGGCTTGGAACAGGCGGAGGACAATCCACATGTACATGGTAAAGAGGTGCAGGTCCTTTGTGATGAGGACCCATAGAACGGGGGACCCAACGGTGCCGAGACCAAGGAACATGACCTCAATCGGGGAGGCGTACTCGGCCGTCATGCCAAAGGGGGCCGAGTAGTAGTGGTGCATCTTGTGGACGGCCTTATACAGGGGAGGCCAGTGGGCACCACGGTGCATCCAGTAGTGCCAAGTGTCCTCGAGGACGAAGAAGATTGCGATCTGGTAGGCCATCTTCCACCAGGCGGGAAAGGGCACGCCGTAGTCGAGACCGCACCAGGTGGCGATGGGGTGGAAGAGCCAAATTTGCGGAAGCTCGACGGTGAAGTGACTGAAGAGAACTAGGGCGCCGCATTCAAATTGCTCTCTCCAAGTTGGGATTTTTTGCTGCTCAAGGTTAGTGGCTGGTACGGGTGGTAGTCGTTCATGTCTGGGATCCTGCCGAATGCATTAGACATGGCGGATGTGGAGTGACGTGCCTGTTGAATCTTCCACCTGCGGAAGTAGGGAACGGCGTCGATAATGATCCATGGCAGACTGCGACCAAAGTAGACGACCTCGTGCATGACAAAGGTCATGATGCCAGTGGCGAGGATGTCGTTCTGCATCCACAGGTACCACGCCGCCCATAGGCGCTCAATGGCGTTGAGCTGGACGTTGTACTTATTCACATCGTCGAGTACGCCGAGGTAGGTTGTGGTAGATGTCTGGTTGGGAAACACGACGGTAGAATTCCTATGAGAGCGTTGTGTGTAAGCGGATGGTCTACTTGTGAGGTAGGTGAGAAGTTGCGGTTGGCTTACCAGGACGCCATGGTATCAAACACACCCCAATGCAGGAGAGACGAACTAAAGCAAGGTGATGTGCGACTCTCGAGATGCAACGGCAGCAACCAGAGCAAATATGAGAATCTGGCAGAATTGCGAAAGGGGCCAAGTTGAATTAATAAACATCCGCGTTTGGTGGAGACTGTTGGCGTTGAACGGGCTTTGGAAATGGATGGTTCTTCTCGAAGGGCGGCGCAGGGGTCCAGACGCCGATGGGACGATAAAAATTCACCGGCATCCGCTCAGGCGTGGTACGATAACTTGCATGTTTTGCTGTGCCCGTTCCTCTTAGAGACACTGGAGAATTTTAACATGAATCCACAGATCCGAATACGAAATGGATGAGTTGCGCCTCGACGACCGTTGCCATTGGCTCATTGTGAAGCTGATGAGATTGGCGAATCTGGTGACAGCTTCTCATCGCCTGCTCTTGGTGAATGGCCCGGAGCCGTGTGTTTCCAGCTGCAGAGAGGCACAGAAGATCCATTCTCCATCCCCGGGCGACCCACTTCCCGGTGGTCTGTTTGTGGTGTGATTTTGTCCACCGCGCTTGAGTCCCCGAGATTGCCGGCCTCAGGGGCAGCGTCTGGCGCCCACAGCCTGGTTCTGGTCCGTCCTGAGCTTGCAGATGGGCTTCTGAAGCACTGAGACAAGGCGATGAGGACATTTGACGTTGCGATGGACATTGGATGTTCTCTCGTTAATGGCCGTTTCTGTAGTAGTTGGGGCCGAGCAACATGGCAGATGTGTGGTCTGCGTGATGATCTGCCACTACGGAGTGGATGGGCAAGGTAGATATTGCAGCTGTGTCCATCGGGTTGATGAACTTCGAGGCGTCTTCTGAGTGCGGACAAGTTACTCCGTAGGCCTGGCAAGGAAGTTTACCGCCGTTCGTGTGGTATGATTGTGCATCCGGGTCGGACGCAAGATGCCCGGCATACTATGCACGTCTTCGGCGCGCTGATGGGTCCGCCCGCCGTCGATTGTTCGGTTTTCAGCTCGCCGTTCTGCCCCATGTGACCACAGCCACGCGGTAGTCACTCGATTCGCGTTGGACCAGCGCCGAATTTGTTTGCAACGGCCAAAGGTGGGCACTCGCCGGATCTGTTGGTGTCTTGATCGGAGCAGCTCGACAGGTGAGGGACGCAACATGCGGTATGGAGATGATGGCCCATCCCGGCCTTGGAGGTGTTCGGATACGGATGCCAATGTTGACCCTGGCTAGCGATAATGGTGCATGTTGGAACTTGGATAAACATGGGTGCGCAAATGGGTTCCCATGTTCTAGTCTCGCTGTCGCTGGTTCGTCATCAACTTCATCGAAGACTCCAGGTTGGCCATGGCCATCCTCCCTGCTAGTGACGCCAACGGGTCTGGGTTTGTCACGTCACCGGACCTAGGGGTTCTGATCAAATGAGAAAAAGGCTTGACTTGTTGTTATAGATCGCTGTTGCAAGAAAGATTGGCTGGTAGCTGTACCGACTGATGTGTCGGGCTACCTTACCCTGCTGTGGAGGCGTTGTTGAGATCTCGCAGAGCAGAGGGAGAGGGCTGAATGTGGGCCACAAAGAGGTTTGAAGGACTCTCAGAATCGAAGATCCTCGTCAAGTCTTTTTTCGAGCCGTATCGAGGTTCCCAAATTCGTGGAGAAGGTGAGGCAGAAGAAGTGATGTGGTGATGCATTTTTTGGTGTTGAGTGGAAATTCAGAGGTTCAAGTGTGGCTGAGGATGTCGGCGATTCCGATGCTCCGACTGTGGCTCAACTAAGGCGGTGCACATCAGCCACTCACCGCCAGCCACGCGACGGCATTCGCGCCCAAAGCTCCCGCAGCTCTCCACTGGCACCACTCACCCACGCACCAACGCGAAGCGCGCCCGCACACCGCACACCGCATCGCAAGGCAGCGAGCTCTCAGTCCGTCTCGGCAGCAAGGGGAAAAAAGAGGCTCAGCAGGTTCTTTGCCCTGGTCTCTGACCCCGTACAGACCCCGTCGAGACCCAACCTCCTCCAGTCATCTCCCCAGTCACGTCGAGTCCGCGCCCACCTCGTGACCTCAGAGGCTCTCAGTCAAGATGACCCATCGTCGGCCAGACCAGGGTGTCTTCGTTGTTTATCCAAGTTCTTGTTCTCGTTCTTGATGCTGGTTTGGGCTGCAGGTCGTCACTTGCGAGGCCATCTTGGACGTGGCCCTGATTCACGCACATGCATAACAGCAAATGTCGTGAATCCCCTTCAAAGTGTCGTCACACTGTTCTTTTTCTTGCCTTTCTCCTGGTCGACTCTTGGCAAGTCTTTACCTTCTTTTTGACGCGACCTTTACCCGCTGCCGCTATCGCATTTGAGCTTTCCATCCTTCGCATCTTCCTTGGCGCTCCGGCTACTATAGACGAAGACATTCACGAACTTTGAATTAAGAAGGAAACAACGACGACGAACAAATCCATTGTTCAACTCGAAGGGAGGAAACAATGGGATACATTGCAAACACGCCCGAGGAGCGCCTCGAGCGATCAGACTCGAAGAATCCAAAGACAACGTGCAAGGGCCTCACGGGCGCAGGAAACCTATGCCGCAACTCAGTCACGCCCGCGAGGGGCAAGATGCTTTCGCCAACGGCCAAGGAGGAGTCGCTCTACTGCCACCACCACAAAGACCAGGCTGCAAGTCGCTCTGCACAGTCGAGTCCCGGCCCTAGACTGTCCGGCAGACCCATCTTGGAAGAGCGAACGAGCATCGACACTCTCGCGGACCGGCTTGGCCTGGTGGACGTAGGCTCCAACCCAACCAAGAAACAGAAACGGCCTCATGGAGGACGGCTCAGTGGCGGTAGTGGGACACAAACCACGAGCGCCTCGAAGCCGCCCTCGGCATATACACGTCCGCCGCAAAAGGAGCGCAAGGAATTACACCTCTGCTGCTGCTTCAGCATCCCCATCGACGAAGTCCAGGAATCCCAGCCCGCCCCTCGGCCCCAGCCGCGACCGGTGCAGAACGGCGGCTCCGCAGCCATGCCCCGGCCCTCGAGCCAGCTCCTGGCCCCTTCGAATTCGCGCCCGCGACCGAGCACGTCGAGCCACTCCCGGAAGAGCTCCCAGCAGGCGTCCCCTCAGCCGCTCTCGACGTCCCAGACAGCGCAGTACCTATCACTCATCCCCCCATCGACCGACCCCCAGACAGCATCGGCGCTCATGGCGGAGTTGGCGAGGCCGTACGGCAGCTCTGAAGAAGCGGGCTACATCTACATGTTTTGGATCACCCCGACTTCCAAAAAGGAGGCGGCCCCTGTGCAGGAAGCGAGATCGCTGCTTGCACCGCCTTCGCCAGCCCGGGGCGTGGGACGCAACCGACGGTCTAGCGACGTGGTATCGGCCTTTGCAAACGCCAACGGCGGCGCATCGGGCGACAATAAGATGCTCATCAAGATTGGACGGGCGCAGAACGTCCAGCGCAGGATGCAACAGTGGACAAAGCAGTGTTCCTACGAGATCGAGGTACTGCGGTACTACCCGTACATACCGGGAGCGAGCGCGGCATCGGGACAGCAACCGCGCATGACGCCGCATGTGCACCGCGTCGAGCGGCTCATCCACATTGAGCTGTCGGGCATGGGACTGCATGCCGGGCCCATAACGTGTGCCGGATGCACTTCGGTGCACCGCGAGTGGTTTGAGGTGCAGACGTCCAAGAAGGGCATCGGCGCGGTGGACGATGTGATTCGGAGATGGGTTGACTGGGACGAGACGACTGTTTGAATCTGGCGGGTTGACCAGACTTGCACAGGACTACCTTTGGAGTGCCTCAGTGGTGATCAAGTGATCCCTGGATGCTGGGCCTAAGCCCTTTTATTTGCACGCATTGCATGGCGGACGGCGCAAGGGAATCTTTCATCGCATTCGAATCTCGTATAGCATTTAAATCAGTATCACAATAGTATAGCAGACTGCAACCAGACTTCGGGGCAATAACAGAACCCTGCATTTCGGCAGCTGCCCGCGGGCCTCGACCGGTCGGGATTCCGCCGGTTCGGGTCACCAAGGAAAGACTCACGAATACAAGCGGAGTATTCCTTAGATATTTGAGTTTTACGTTTTTACTGTGTATGTTTTTACGTTTGCTCTACAGGTTGATGCAATTTCAAAAGCCGATGGCGCAATTTCAGACCTCGACACATGGCCTCCACGGTTCCTGGGCAGGTGGCAGCCGTATCCCAACGTCAGCTGAAGACAAGGTTCAATTACGGGGACTATGACTGTAAGATCAAAAGGAACACAAACTGTGAGCATCCCACGCTGCTACAGTTTCCATCTGTCATTGTGGTTCTCTTCTTGGTTGAAAACTCGGGCTCTTTGGCTCTTGATCAAGTTGCCGAAAGTGGTTTACTCTTGTAGACTCTTGATCATTACTGCACCTACGGAGTACGGATACATACAATGAACGGTCTTTAAGTCTCATAACCAAGATTACAGGCAGGCAGCACACACTGGCGGTAGACTGATACAACGTGTATGTACAGGTTGCTCCAGGTGTCCAGCAAACGTCGAGGACGGCACGGATGTGGCCCGACGGTGCCACCACCTCCCGCCCACCCTGCTCGTTGCATGCAGCATCCTGGGAATGCTGACGAGCTAATGCAGAACCAGAGGGACACCACCGTTGGAGCCTTGGACTCTGCTCTCGAGGTGTGAGCGTCTGGGCGTTCCCCAGTTTCGAGGCCAAACTTTCAGTGCTCTCCTTGCCTTCAAGCTCTGACTCGGACCGAGTGAGTGAACATCGACTGGTTGCTCAGTGTTGATGTTCAAGGTTCATTCGGCCATAACTCAATGTGTTGGTCTCACAGAAAACAAACAGAAGGGTGACTGTTGATGAGAGTCTCACATCTCAGATCATCAGCCAGACATTCGTCTCACTCGTCATTCCTCGCCCTGCCAAGCTTGGTGTTTCCGCGTGCCGAGCAAGTGCCTCATCTCTTGGCCATCTCTTGACAATCTCTTGGACTTTTTGTTTCCCGCTCAGAGGGCCGCTCGCTGCTTGGCGCTGGCACAAATCCTCCGAGCAAACTCGCACCCACCACCAACAAGCCCTACTAGTCTGTTAATCTGTGAACGGGGGCAGCGTCACTTCATCAGGACTGGAGGGGGGACTGGCGGGGGGGCTGACCGGGGACGACGTCACTAGCTCGAGCAAGCTTTTCTGGTGGCGCATCTTCCGATGCTTGTCGTTGCTTGTCCTTTTTGGCATTTTTGCTTGTCTCTTGTCGATCGCTGGTGTCGCCCCCGGGAACTCAATTGGCTCTTCAACGACATTGAGTCTCTCTCGCAAGAACTGCACCGGTGCCCGGCGGCGCCGCGGTCGTAAGAAACGTTCGTTCTACTCGACCCGCTAGAGGGTTTAGATTGGTCTCCAAGTGTCCAATGTCATCTCTTGAACGATATCTCGACGGGGATAGCAACTACAAGTTCGCCTCTTTATGGGTACCCTACTGCAGATACTGGCAAGGTAGGCAATACTAACCTAGCACGGCTAAGTACCTCCAAGGCTCCAACAGTCTTTCCGAGCCGCGAAGCCATCCGCGATCCAGTTCCCCTTTGAGAGAAGCGCCGCCTGTAGCTGGACGTCTTCCCCATATCTTGCAATGACGTGCTCCGCGAGCCTGGGCCGGATTGTGATCCCCTTTTGACGCCTTTGGTCCTCGACAACTTTGAGAGGCTCTGAAATCTCTGACCGGGGCGGAACTCGAGTTCCACCCACGCACGGGGGGAGACCCTTCTCCTCCCCTTGCTCCCCTCTGCATGCTTTCACATTTCCTGGCTGCATTGGCTGGTTTCTGACTGGAGGATGTCCGCTGGCGGGTATCGTAATCTGTGGCGGACGCTTTCAAGCAACTTTGCCATGGTCGAAATGGGTCGAACGACTAGCCAAAGTGACATGGCAATAAACCTGTTCTGTGGTGCCTCTTGAGGTATCGCCATCATCTTTGACAAGGCGAAATCCCTTTGCTCTCTCACGCTCTCACGCTCTCTAGGGATAACACCATCCGCACACCTTTCCCAGTTGCTGTTGTCTGCGCATACTCGATCTGCCTACTGCAGTCTCCTGCAAGTCGCATGCAACGAGTTCCTCCCATCGCTCCCTCCGGCCCAGTTTACACTCCTGGTTCGCAAGGAACCCGCGTCCGTGGCTCCAGCCCTTCTTCGGCCGTTCCCAATTCCCATGTCACCTTGCCAAGTCGCATCTCTCTTCCCAACTGCCGGGATCATACTGCTGACGCCTGGCTAAGCTGATCTTTTTCCTCTTCACAAGTAGCCCGTAGCTCTTTGCCTCTCCCTCCTTCTCCTCGTACCCTTAAAACTCGCACGTCCCACGTGCTCGCGCATTCTCTCCGTCATCCTGTGCCTGGAGACTGTTCCGAACTCTACCTCCCTCTTGTCCTCGTCCCTCTTCTCTTCTTCTCCATCCGCCGAACTACCACTTGAGCGTCCGTGATCCGTCCCACCGTATCGTCACACCAGTATACCACTGCGCCATTGCCATCGATATCATCACCCACCCGCATTGCGAAACCCCGTCGCCTCTACCCCTCCATTTCCCAGTGTCACCCGGCGCATCGCCGCGACTCAATTGGCGCGCCATGGATAAAGATCTACGCCAACCCGAGCCCACGTCCAACGACAAGGGCTCCTCTGAGCTCGCTTTTGCCCGCGCCGATGCCGAGACAGGAGGCTCCTCCGGCTTCAGCGCCTGGTTCGGCGGCCGCAACACAAAGGTCGGCCCGCGGATTGCGCCTCGCAAGGAGGGCGTCGGAGAGGGCTCCGACAGCGAAGACAGCGCCGATGCTATCTTGACCAAGCAGCTTGCCGAGGAGAATAGCCATGCGATCAAGTACAGGACGTGCAGCTGGCAGAAGACGGCCGGCCTGCTGTTTTCCGAGTACATTTGTCTGGTGAGTTTCCGTCTTGGGGGAGATCTGGCGCGTGGCAGATCGTGCTGACCGACAAAGGCCATCATGAGTTTCCCGTGGTCATATAGTATTCTTGGCCTGGTGCCCGGGTTGATCCTCACTGCCGTCATCGCGCTCGTTGTGCTCTACACGTAAGTTCCGACTCTCTCGCCCAGCTCGCCTCGACATAATACTGACTGCCCGTGTAGATCTTTGGTTCTTTGGCAATTCTGCATGAGACACCCCGAAGTTCGCGACGTCTGCGATATCGGCCAGATGCTCTTCTGGGGAAAGACATGGGCCTGGTACGCTACGGCTGTCATGTTCATCTTGAACAACACTGTATGCCTCTTACTCCCGTCGACAACATGGGTGCATTGCTAACACTACGTACGTAGTTCATCCAGGCTCTACACGTCCTCGTTGGCGCCAAGTACCTCAACACAATGACCGAATCCGACCCCGTCGTCTGCAGAACCGTCGTCTTCTCCATTGTCGTCACCATTATCTGCTGGCTCTCCTCGCTGCCTCGCACCTTTGACGCCCTTTCGAAAGCCGGAACCGCCTCCGCAGCCTTCACCTTCATCTCAGTGCTTCTGGCGACCATCTTTGCTGGCATTCAGGCGCATCCCGCCGGCTACGACCCCCGATCAACGTATGTCGACGAGACTACAGGCACAACAAAGACTGGCGGCGCCCCGATTGTCACGGCCATCCCCATTGCTGCTACGACTTTTGTTTCTGGAATGAATGCCTTCCTGAACATCAGCTATACTTTCATCGGCCAAATCACGTTGCCCAGTTTCATTGCGGAGATGAAGGATCCTAGGTAAGTCTACAATCATACTCTTTTTTAGCATGTATGCTAAGCCAGGTATAGGGATTTCCCCAAGGCTCTCTGGGCCGTGACCATTGGTGAGATCATCGTCTTCAGCATTGTCGGAGCTGTCGTCTACGCCTTCGTCGGAAACCAATACATGACGGCTCCCGCCTTCGGCTCCCTCGAGGAAGTCTATAAGAAGGTGTCCTTCTCCTTCATGATCCCGACTCTCGTCTTCCTCGGCGTCTTGTACGCCAGCGTTTCGGCTAGATTCCTCTTCTTCCGTCTCTTCAAGGGCACCAAGCACTTGCACGAGCACACCATTGTCGGCTGGGGTTCTTGGGCCACCATTCTTCTTGCCTTGTGGCTTTTGGCGTTCTTGATTGCCGAACTTATCCCCTTCTTCTCTTCCCGTAAGTTTCGCTCGGTCAATGATCCAGAGTTTTCGCTAACTAGATTCAGTGCTTTCCCTCATGTCCTCTCTGTTCGATTCATTCTTCGGCTTCATCTTCTGGGGCGTCGCCTACTTCCGCATGCGAGGTGCCGATAATCGCGCCGGTGTCCCCAAGCCGGGAAAACTTGCCGATCTTACGACGATGGGTCTCAACATCCTCATTATTCTCACCGGTCTTTTGTTCCTCACTGCCGGCACATACGCCAGTGTTGAAGGCATCATTGAAGAGTTTAGAGCGGGCACCGTCGGCAAGCCTTTTGGCTGTGCAAGCAACGGGCTTTGAACGGGCCCCAACATCAATTGCCTTTGTGCCATTGTAAAAGATTGACACATGACTTGGAGCGTCGCTGCATGCTCGTAAGCAATATTATATGGGGTAGAGGAAGACTAAAGCAACGATACCATAGTGTTTATTATCACGTCCTTTTGGCTATAAATAGACCAAAACGCAGTTCCATGATCTATCTTTTGAACTTTCACTAGCGATGTCGCCACAATCATGGCCCCCGACATCAGGAGTGCGCAAATAATTCACCTCATCAAATGCAACAGATGCCATCTGAAGTGCTTGTTCGCTCATCGCGAGGCCATGGAAGTCCCTCATTGCTATGCGAGCGGTGATACAATCATTGCTCATAAAGGCGAAGCTGGCAAACGAACGAAACAATCGTGCGGATCCCACGTCAACTTGTCGTAAGCCCCCTTCGTGTTGAGTTTCTGTGAAAGCTTTTCTAGTTGGAAATTCTACCGCACAAGCACCACCAGCATTCGAAAGTGCATATACTTCGGATCAAAAATGTCTCTCGTGCCGTCCTTAGACGAAAAAAGTCACCTCTCAGGCGCGTACATTGCCCTATTGATGCCTGGGACACCAGACGCCACCCATTTCAAGCAGTGTGGCACTTAACAATGGTTGAACATCGAAGTTTTGCCTCGAGGAATTGAAGAAGTTACTAAGTTGGATAATTTTGTGGTAGATACACCACCATCCCAAGCTTGTAGTCCCTTGAAGCAAATTGTTGCAAGCTCGAGCTCCAAAATCTTCGTCCGAATGACTTTAGACCAACGTGGTCAGACGATCCGCCTCGGATACGAGCACGGAGGTTTACGAGAGGTTTACGACGAATCCGGGGAGTATTAGCCGCCAGACATGGATGGAAAGAGTTTCACACTGGACGGTCCGCCATACTTTGCCTGAAATACTTATACTTCCCATCCCACACTTTCACGTTCGGCTACTCACAGCTCCGTGGAGAGGTATACACAAGCTGTAGGCAGCGGCAAAGCTAATTGCCCGGGCACTTGTGTGTCTACCTTCCGTTCACTTATTTATCTGTGTTTTGCGCGAATGTGAGAATCAGACTAAAACATCTTGCGGCAACTGGCCTCTCGCTCCACCATTTCTCCTTCGCCCAGCACACCAGCCAGCACTTCGGCTCTTTCCCAAGTCGTATTCTTGGAATCGTCGTATTGAAGAGGTCTTTGTCGAAATGGAATACACCACTCTCCCACTGCACTGGTTCTCGCAACTAGCTAGCCTGCTGACCCCTTTTTCAGCATTGGCTGTTGTGGTGGTTCTCGTCACAATCCTCCCGATGGTTATGGACCGGGCCACCGCGGAAAAACCAAAGCCCAAAATCGCCAGCTCAGGATCCTGGTTCGCCAGCAGACAGGACTTCGCCGCTAATGGCGTTGAAATCATTGAGAAGGGCTTCAACTAGGTGAAGAGCGGTGTATTTCGAGTGACGGCTCTCGATGGTTCCGATTTGGTTCTGATTGCGCCAGAATATTAGCTCGCATTGTGCAAGAAGACCGACGAGGAGGTGGCGCCCGCTCGTAAGGAGGTTTGTGCACCAAGGCGCGACCGTCGAGTAATTGTAGCTAAAATTGTCCAGTTCTTCTTGTGCATTTAAAGGGCGCACCATTCGAGGAACCCTTTTCCTACCGCTACGTTGCCTCGCGCATGTCCGGGTTTGGTGCCTCTCGTACTACTTACTTTTTGCGATTGCGGTTGCTGTAAACTCACGATAGCCTACAACTAAAGATCGTTATCTCGATGTCATATCCACCGCGTTGAATGAGGGTATATGCAGTGTTTTCGCTCCGCCATCCGGGGGTTCAAAAGCTGGTAGGCTTCTCACTCATTTACCTTTCCGATCATCCGTCTGGTACCTCTCATATCAAGAGTCTTTCTAATGTTGATCTCGTACAGCACCAAAGCGTGTCATCATGCAATCGCAAATCCTACTCATTTACTCGAACGTCATTTGGAAGGTCATTCTGGGGAATAGTTTCAAGCCCGAGGTAGTCGATATCTTTGTAACGTACTCTGCAACATTAATATCCGTAATGAAAGCACTGAAGGCCCAACGACCCCTATTGGCCCGAATATCTGCCGCCTTTTCGAAGGACGTCCGCCAAGCCAACGCGCAACTTAAGCAAGCCTCAGCATTATTCGCACCTCTTTTTGAACAATGTGTGCAGGCGTCAGAGCAGGGGCTTGCGAGGAGCTCCCTAGATCCTGAGTGGCTCCTGGCTTATTACCAGATCAATCCTGAGGAAAGGGAGACTGAGAGATATCGAGATGTTCACTATGGCCAATACGTATGTGCCTCTCCTTCCTGTGCCTCCACTCCGGAATTCGATAATTCTCGGCGTCTCTTCTGAACCGCTGACAAAGTTTCCAGAGTTCTCCGAATCCAACCAAGCATATTATTCTCAAACCGATAATGCGGCAATGAAGCCTGACCATATACATGGAAATGTTCCCCGCCGAGGACACCAACGGGTTTGTGGTCTGACGTGGGATTGAAGAAATGATGATTATTGACTCTCTGGTGAATTATTGGATGCACCATGACAGCTTCCAATGGACATAGGTACAACTTTAGACAGTAAACATTTCATTGAACATGCCTTCTGAGTCCATGGTCAGACATACCCGACTTGCCCGAGAGCGGCGTTCCCGTCATGACTCGTGTCTTGAAGTGCCGAGATCTGTGATGGAATGCTTTCACCAGTGTCTTTGTGCTGCAAAAAAGCTGCTTGCTTTTCTTAACACATAACCAGGCTCTCCGCATTGACTTGCACATGTCAAACCAGAAAGAAATCTCCTCTACTAGAATTCAACCCATCCAAGCTTTCCAAGCATCTGGTTGCTTGAGTTTGCTGATCAACCCGGGGCAGATAATGCGGAGAAATGACGCAAGTACTAGGATTACTCACCTTGTCCCTGCTGATCTCCAACTCCAAGGCCGCAACATCAGATGACTTTGGCTGAAACACAAGTGACGTTCCCGCAGCCCAAGCACCGCTGCGTCTCCAACGCTTCAGCCTTTTGAGCCGTTGAGTCTGATTTCTCTGAACACGCCACAGATAAGCTTGAAAACACCTCAAAGAACCTCATCACTTGAGACAGTCCCTTGATCAACTTGGCAATCCATTCGAAAAGCTTGAAAAACATGTCTAACCGAACCATTTGCGATGTCGACACGCCGGACCCTTGGATTGTGGCCGGCAATGGCAAATTCTACTTCACCTTTACCCTGGACAACCGCGTCGAAATATGGTGCTCCAATACCCTCGAGAACTTTCACCACTGCCACAAGAGTGTCGTTTGGCAGCCGGCGCCGGGGACTCCATGGTCAGTCAACATTTGGGCACCAGAGCTGCACTACCTCAAGGGCCAGTGGTATATCTACACCTGTGGCGCGCCGCCCGGGGTCGGGAACCCGGGCCATCGGACTACGGTCCTCCGATCGTCGTCCCAGGATCCGATGGACGCCTCCGCATGGGAGTTTCTAGGTCCGCTGAAGGGTATGCCGGACCACTGGTCCATCGACGCCACAGTCTTTAGTCCCAATGGACACGATTTATACTGCTGCTGGTCTGGATGGCCTCTTGGAGATCATTCCGACACGCAGCAAGACCTGTTCTTGATTAAGCTTCGTGCCCCGGAAGAAGCCATTACCGACACACTCCTTTGTATTTCGAGGGCTGAGCTCTCATGGGAACGCCCTGATGAGGGCCGCCGGGGCGTTAATGAGGGCCCGACATGGGTTGATATTCCTGGTGTCTTCAGAGGCATTGTGTACTCTGCCGACGGAAGCTGGACTAGCGACTACAAGCTCGGCCTGCTGCCGCTCGTAGGACAGAACCCTCTAGATCCAGGCGCATGGGCGAAGCGATCGACACCGCTTATGGTCAGTCACAAGCGCTGCGGAGGTCCGTACGGGCCGGGGCACGCAAGTTTCTTGCCAAATCCACATGATCGAAGCCGTGTCTACTGCATTTACCATGCGACGGCGAATTATGGAGAGGGATGGGCAAATCGGAAAGCGAGGATAATTGATCTTGGGCCAGAGTGCTTTGGGCCTCATGCCCACTCCATATGCTGCGCGCTGGAACGTCATATTCCGAAGCATGGTCACGATAGACCACATAAGTCTTCATGTATCATGTCCTAGTGTTCTATGTCTACATGCATGCAAAACCCTGTTCTACGTCCTTCAAATACAACCTTGTCAATTCAGTTCTCCTCGACTGCGAAGTTTGCTGGCAGCTTCAATACTGATAGTCCCAAGTGTTGTTGCGACCCATGAATATCGTTCTCCATAAAGCTGCCGGCTGAAGCTCTCTTTCCCCCTCTGAACCGAGGTATTGTTACCTTGAATGCCAGAGCCGGTTCAAAGAACCCAGTCCAAACAATGTCGCTCTCAGAAATGCCAAGAGCCTCGGCAACATTGACAGAATGTAGTATTCCCGACTCTCGAATCGCTCTGAAGGTGCACTCGGACTCGAAGATGACGTCCATTGTAATCTCGTAGGGCCCCGCGTTCTTCGAACGAAGGACTTGGGAGATGTCCGAAAGGGTTCTCGGGTGACCTGCAATGCTCTTTGGACTCGAAGGAGAGTTCCGCGGGCTCGCGTGGGCTTTCTCGCCATTTGTATTCGGCCCGCCTGTCGACTGAGACTCAAAGTCCGTTGGGACAGGCTGGTTACTTCTCGTTCCCTGACCGTTTCCAAATATGGAGACTGAAGAGCGGAGGAGGCTTCTGTTCTTCTGGTTCTCTGATGTAATTGAGAGCCTTTCTTCGCCCGGCTTGAGATCGATGAGATGGTATATCGAGAACTGGGCACATGGGCCGGTCTCAATCTCTAATTTCCCAGCAATCCCAAAAGCGAAGTTGCCGGACGTAGCCTTTTGGCCCGCATATGGCCCATGCTACATTGCTGTTAGAAATTATTAGGAGTATGTAATAGAGTCATCCTTACAATCAATGCAATTCTCGCTGTCGATACGAGACCTGTCGCAAGTTCTTGTGTCGGGGCAATTGCTTCCGCGACGATGAATATCTCCCCGGGACCACTGGGCGTGCTCTGCCCTTTGCCATAAGTGTGGAAGTCTAGATCCCAGTCACCGGACACATTTTTATGTTGCTGCTTGACGTAGGCTTTGACAAGAATGAGCAAGTCGTCCAATTGCTCAATGAGTATATCTGCGCATTGTCAGTCCTGCAAGCCTGTTGAATATGGGCAGCAACTCTTCTAAGACCAACGCCAACTTACGATCTTTGACACTCCCAAGAACAATGGATCGATAGCCAAGAACGCGTGCGGCTTCTAGCTTGAACTGATATGGTTTGCCATTTGCGATTGACGAAACAAAGCGCGCCCCACGTGCTCGGACGGTACGCTGATCGCTGAGCTGCTCATAGTGTGCCTGGTCGAGATGAAGAGCACCTCCGGGCCCTCGCAGGATGTCAGGCCTCGTATTCTCATACAATGAATGCGCGGCTACTGAAAGTGGCGTGCAACGTGAACCGGGCGCGATTGGTCTGACGTCGAACATGCCACTTTCGTAGACGGTGGCAACAGCGCCGTGGGACTTGGGTGTTGAACAAAGCCCGCCACATTCCATGATCTTGCCCATGTGCAGAAAGCCGCCATGTATGGACTCAATTTGGTCGTGAGTGATGCCTGGGTTCTGACGTTTGAGCTGGTACATGGAGTATGCAACATAAGGAGCGGGATCGTATGCCCTTCCGCCGATGATGATATCGAAGTCGGGTGTGGCTTCCATGGCATCAACGAACGCCTCGGGGCCTATTTGTGCCACAACGCGAGTTGAATCTTTGACATCTTTGGACTTTAATGGGGGCACACAGACGCCACAGCCGGAGATCCCCCCAACATTGAGTCGTTCGAGAATGACGGATTTGTCGATACTAGAAAATATTGAAACAGTTTTGAACGAGTATTGCCTTGTTCCATTAGCCAATGAATGTAGCTTTGGGTAAGGCAGGACTTACGAGTTGCTATCTTCTGCACAAATCTCTTCAATGATTTCTTCCATCAACTTCACATGTTCGTCGGAGCCATCTCCTCCGGCAGAGCCGAAGACCAATGGAACCCGAAAGTCATGTACGAGCTTCAGCAACTTGGTCAAGTCTCTGACATAGGCTGAACGAGGGCAAGTCATGGTGCCAAGTGCCAGTTTCTCGGGGCCACTATCAGTTGATCCGGCGTCTAGGATAATAGCCGTTGGAACGCCGCTGGGAACGAGTTGTGCGAGTTCCTTGCCGCAAGCGTCCTCGTCAAGGCCATACCCCATGCACCCAACTGGTGTAACGATGTAGCAGAGAGGGTGTGGACCCATGCTTGCAGACTCTTCGAGAACAGAACTCATGCTGAGGGTGTGGTATTTGTTCGGTGCTTCAAC